AAAGAAGTAAAGAAATTTCCAGAGACCCTTTTCATTCATTAACAGCATAACAGAAGCAAAATTAATTTCCTTTGAGTGAACAAACACTCCGAAGTTTATTTTGCGAGGCAGCTTGGCGCTTCTGTTTTATGTCAGAGTGGTTAAGTCAGAGCTTTTTATTCCTGGCTCTTTTTCAAAATTCACTCTTATTCACATTCGGCTCTTATATGCTGATTCTTTCCTCCCACCCCCTCAGCACACACTCTCCTGGGGACACTCAGCTGATATTCTTTTGCAAATTGCAGACCAAATTAAACTGTATTAAAATTGCGCACCGGGTTCTGACAGTAGGTGCCTCATGATTTAAACAGAATTTGCTATTTTGAGATTTTAAGTATACAGATATCTATTGGTTGATAAAAATACACTTTAGCCCTGGCCAGTGTGGCTAAGTGGTTAGAGCGTTCGCCTGTGGACCAGAGAGTCCCGGGTTTGGTTCCGGCTATGAAAACGTACCTCGGTTTGTCCCCGGCCCTAGTTGGGGTTGTGTGGGTGGCGACCACTCGATGTGTCTCTCTCACATTGATGTTTCTCTCTCTCTCTCTTTCCCCCCTCTCCCTCCCGCTCTATCTGAAGATACATGCAAAAATGTCCTCGGGTGAGGATTAAAAAATAAAAATACAACACTTTAAAGGTTTACACTGAAACAAAGTATGTTTTTTAAGGTTGCTTTAAAACATGTTTTTAAAAACACTCCTTTACTCACTTGGAAAAGTACTCAAAATATCTGGATTCTTTATCCCCAGACACAAAGCTACAGTTGTTTCTTAGGTCTCTCCCTCTGTGTTGGCATCAATCTGTCTGCCAACATGGAACCCATGCCTACAACAGGTTATTGAATCTCTTTGCCACCTAGGTCTCCTGCACCTGAGGCTGCTAAGCCTCAATTCAGTTTGAATATCAATCTTTTTATTTCCAGTAGTTTATGGGAAGAATGTCCAGTCATCCACTTCCACAATAACCACCCTTTCTGAGTCATTCCTGAGCATTCACAGTGTCAACACCCATCTAAACCCCCGATGTGTGTTAATCGCATTGAGCATCCAGCAACTGTATGAGATGGATGCATCATCCCCTTTTTAAAATTCAGAGCCTGAGACCCAGAGGAGTTAAAACTGGACGTTAAAACTTGGGAAGTTCTGCCCTGGCCGGTTTGGCTCAGTGGTTAGAGCATGGGCCCATGGACCAGGGAGTCCCGGGTTCAGTTCCCGCTGGGGGCACGTGCCTCAGTTTCAGTTTGTCCCGGCCTCAGTTGGGGTTGTGCAGATGGCAACCATTCGGTGTGTCTCTCTCGTGTCGATGTTTCTCTCTCTCTCTGCTCCCCTCTCTCCTTCCCACTCTGTCTGAAGATAGATGCAAAAATGTCCTCAGGTGAGGAGAAAAAATAAAAAAATTTGGGAAGTTCTTCTGAGCCAACCCAAATCCATTGTGCAGCCACAGTCGTTTCTTGCCCACTCTACCCGCGCAGAGCATGGGGAAAAGCTGATCACCATCTTTCCCATTTAAGATTGCAAAGGTGTCAATGTTTAAAGCACAGACAGCCAGCTCCATCATCTTGACCTTCTCAATTTCTGGAAGATATCAAGTGATCCTTTTCCTAATCAGTTATGGAACTGATTTTGGAGGACTCACTCAAACCTGAACCCCAATCCAAAAAGGCCCCCTGGGCACCTTAACTGTTTGGTCGGATGTAGCTAATTCCCAGTCTGCAGCTGTGCACTGAGAAAAGGGAAGATGTCAACAGTTCTCCTAAAGCAGCTCAGGCCCTGTCACTCTTACCCCAGAGCTTTTGGTTATTTTTCTTTTTCCTCTTATTTACAGATTTCTTCCAATGCCAGGCATGTGATAAGCCCCTTACACATATGTTCTCACTTAAACCATGCATTTGACTCATGAGCCAATGCCATCAGTATCCCTGTTTAACAGGAAAACTGAATCTTAGCAATATTTAAGAACTTACCAAAACTCACTCAGCAGAGCAAGTAAGAGAGATGGGCTAAACTCAGATCAACTTGCCTCTAAGTCACATCCATTTAATCATAATATTTGCTGTCCCCAACACACCCCCGCTTAGTGTTCTCCCCACCTTGTAGCTTCGGGCTAAACAAATCCTGAAGGTGCCCTTGCTTCTTACCGCAAGGGTCACTTTGAGAATCACAGGTTCTGTGATGACTTCCGCCCCAGGGACCGCATGCTCACTCTTGTCCCATTTGCCTCTTCCTCACAGCTTCTCTCAAGTGCCATGTGGCAATCCCAGGGGTGTCTGTTGGTCTGGGATGAGCGCACCTTGCTTGTCAGGCTCGGCCCACCACCCTCAAGGAGCACACCTGTATAGTGTTAAATTCAACTGCTGCTTTTCTGGAAACTAATCTTTAAGGGAAAGTCCTTTTAGGCTGTGGCACCACCCTTATCAGCATTCAGAGTGCAGGACGGTGGTCAAGTCACGCTAACTGGGACAAAGGTTGAATCAAAGCAGTTGATGGTGGAGGTGGAGGAGCCAGCGCCCAGCCAGCCTCTGCAGCCGTGCCTTGGGGTTAAACCCGGAGAGAAGAACTGAGGTGATCCCTCCCACCTTTCAGTGGCTCAGGGTGTCGCGGGGAAAGTGCTGACAGTCTAGAAAAGCCTCCATGACCCATTAAAATGCTTGAGAACCTATAAAATCTCAGTTCTACAATCACTTCCTTCCCTATCCTCCCAGCCTTCCTTCAGAAAATTTGGGGAAACCATCCCATGCTTGATAGTGACCATCATTGTGACATTTCCTGGCAGAGGGAGTGGCCAACCCCTTCCATGCTTTGTGGTCTCTCTTATAATCATTTCTCTCTGATATACATCTAACCTCTGAAAAGGTTCTTATAACCACAAACAATATGCAAGTAGCTGGTTTCTATCAAATATTCTCTCTACCATGATTCATGACTTTGGGGCATTACTTGGAGTGGGTTATTTCAGGTTTTATTTCCACAAGCTTATTTGTTTTCGCTTTTGAATGCTTTGTTGCTTTATTATTATTTTATATATAATTTTTAAATAGCAATTATTGATTGTCTTTATTTCATAATGTTGCTGAATGTTCCAAGTTCAAGAAATGACCCTGAGACCATAGAACAGTTTTATTAGTAGAAGCATCATGTCCTTGTCCTATAAAGTTTCAGGACTTCTTTCTCTTCCAGGTTTTTTCAGAGGACTTCTTGGAGTTTTCTTCTACAAGAAGTACCCCTCTTTGGGCTTAAGTCAGGAAAGCATCTTGCATCCCTGCATCCTGGGCAAACCTCCAGACTGTCACAGCCCCCAGCCCCTCCTTCCCTGAATTCTTAAATCTTTCTCTCCTTTTTCTTTCCCTTCTTGTTACCTTTGACCTTCTTTTTCAAGTCCCCAGACTTTATGTTCTTTTCCTTTTTCTTCCTGGAGTTTCCCTTAGAGATTAAATAGAAACAGCTGAATTCGGAACACTTTTCAGCATGGTAAACCCAATGCCGACCTTCAGCATCCCTAAGGGTGGACATCGCTCCCATCACCTCATCCTTCTTTCTCGTTGCTCATGAAGCCCAAGCCACACGCTGACCTACTTTTCTCCGTGTAAGGTTGTCCTTCCTACTTCCTTTGAGAGTGCGCCCCCTGGAGCACATTCGTTACCTAGACTAAGGTCCTTACATCCTGAAGGCTGCCTTTGTGGTGTCAAGGCCTCCAGGACTGTGATTAGTGGAGCCTGTGAGCAGAAAGGGCTCTGTCCCTGTCATTTTCATCATTGGGAGCAACTGAACTCACTCTCTTTTACAGCTTCTGTCACTCTCAACCAATCACACAAGTCACCACTATGACCAAACCCCCTGATTTCTACCCATGGGGGGGGGGGGGTGGCTGCCAACTTTCCATCCCAGGAAAGACTCTACCAGAGAAACATTTTGGGTTCAGTTTGGCTTGGTTTTGGTCTAACTGGAAAAGTAGAATGAGATCCCTTGTTAATATGCTGCTAGAGAAGCTAACCCCCAGCAGATACCTAGTGGGAAAACTGGAGGGGTTGTGATGTTTTCAGGGACACGTTGTATCTGAATCAGCCAATAATCAGTTAGTTTAAAATGAAACTCCTCTGTACCTTGAATGTCACGGTGGGAGCATGGTCCAGGGTTAAAGAAGAAAAATGTATTATGGTTCACTAATCTCTATACTTTAGCATGCTTTTTGTTTTCTCTGCTTGTTGCATGCACTTACCCATTAATTATGTCAATAATGGAAAAGAAATGAAGTATTATGCTTGTGGTACACCTGTTTAAAATGAATACTTTGAGAAACATTTTGTTTCCAGCACCTTCCTCTAAGCATCCCGTCATCAACAGAGGTTACTTGCTATGTTCGGTTGATCATTCTTCGCTCCAAATCCCCCCAAATGAAATCAGTTGCCTCCCTGATGTTCTCATTGTAGCTGACTCAGCTAGTTTGGAAACTTGGATGCCTGCTCCTGACTCGTTTAGATACTGCAATGTTCATTATGATACATATTTGAAAACCAAATTCAAATCAAAGGATCCCTGGGCATGGCTTCCCATGGTCAAAAGCTAGTTCTGGGATGAGCATTTAACCCCAGAGGCGGGCCATGCCTCCAGGGCCGCTCTGTCTTTGGACTTGTTTGGGATCTCAGCTGCAGGGGCAGCTTTGGTGATTGGTGCTTTCATTTACTATTTTGTAAGCAATTGGGAGAAAGGGAAGAGGTCCAAGTTAAACCTTTTGTCTATAGTTCGGCAGCTTGAGATTCTCAAATGGAGGAGTGAGCTGAGGAATCCACAAAGGTGAGAAAGTGCCCTTCGTGCAGGGCACTGGGCACTTGGACTGGACAGAAAGGAGCGTCACAGCTGCGTGAGGGGAGTGCGAGCCCGCGTGGCCACTGCTTCGCCGTTCGCCACAGACTTCCCTTGACTTTCCTCCTCATCCTGTTTCCTTCCCACCACTTTCTTTTGCTTCAGGGAGGTTCAGAGAAAAGGCTTCCATTCTCCACAAGATTGCCAAGAAGAAATGCCAGGTGGATGAGAATGAGAGGCAGAATGGGGCTGCCAATCACATGGGTGAGTCCAGGGAGACTTGGTCCGGAAACTCCCCTGGAGTGCGTGAGGGGAGCGGAGAGCAGGACCCCGTGTGGGCACCCCGACTCAGTGCAGACACAGAACCCCGCAGCTCAGCCCTCTCCTGCGTGTCAGGAGGCGTCCACTCCCCCTGGTGGGTACAGGCCACGGGTAGACACTGTGCGCCACCTACCCTCGGGGAACCCAAGGAGAGTAGAATGAGTCTGTGAAGAACCTGAAATAAAACCAGTTCCTAAACCAGGCATCTCCCTTGATGATTAGAAAATTACTTTACTTTAGGGATTCTATGTAAAGAGGGGACACGAACACACACACACACACACACACACACACACACACACACTCTTCATTTACTGTTTAACAAAAGGTGAAACAGGACCTCTTCTGAAAGTCTTGCCTGGTGACCAAAGTTGATACCTGTGACATTGCTTACAGCACACCCACTGAATGTCCAGATGATTCGCTTGGTGGCTCCTGACCTGAGTGGCAGGTTCCGTGCCAGGTGACACAGCCTCCCCTTTCTGAAGACTTCAGCAATACTAGCCCAGGTCTTTTCTGGCTGACTTTTTCTGAGCTCCCGTGTGACTAGATCGGGACATTCAGCCATCTTATTTTAACTTGGAACATGATGTTCCTCCTCCTGTTTGTAACTATAATATAACTTTCTAATTCTAAATTCAAACTAAATTTAACCTAATCTGGATCTATGCTATAAATGATGCTATTGCCCAAGATACTAAAATTATCTGAAGGCAGAATTAAACAGTGTTGCATTCAAACTACATGCCACTCCTTAGAAGAGTTTCTGCCTTTCCTGTAACCCTGACTTCCAGCTCAGGGAAAATCTTTGACCAAGAAACAGTCAAGATTCTATTGGGTATGGAAAAAAAAAAAAGAAACCTGAAAGGACATACACTAAAATAAGAACAATATTTATTGGGATTGGGATTATGAATTATATCTTTTTTCTCTGCTTCTTTATGCTTCTGTGAACTTGGACTAATTTTTTGGAATGAGCATGTCTTGCTTTTATATTGTAAAATGCAAAACCACACCACAAAAGTCTAATTGCATAGGCCGAGTTTTGTTTGTGATATTTACATTAATTTACACAAGTTATTTTTCTGCACCACTTGTTGATGTTTATGGAATTCTTGTGGGATGAGGCAGCTTGGAGTACAGGGACCTAGATGCCTGGGTTCAGTCCCAGTCCTCCTCCTAATGACTGGATGACCTTGGACTTGGATTTAACCCTTCATGAGGAGGTAGGACACATAAATCCAAGGATGCGTCCCATGCAGACGAGGTCTCTGAACAACTTTGTATCTAAAAAAAAATAGAATATGTCCAAAACCTTTTCCAAGTGAGTTCAAGGTTTATTTTCACATGTTCTTTGGTGATGAGACCTCAACCTGCCATGTAAAAGCACATCACAAGCTAAGACGTGCATACTGCACTAGATATTATGCCTGGGAAGTTGTTTCTTAACCAGTCTTGACTTTTCTTGGACATCTTAACTCTATTTTGGTTTCCAGTATCCTGTGTTGCTAGGCTCAAGTTTGGCCATTGCAGGCTGATCCTAAAGTTGTATTACTTCGGCCGATTAGACTCCCCAAAGCAGTTTTTATATTCCCCCATACTTAGTACTTTTTTAGTTTCAATAACTGAGCCAAGCATGCTAGGATAAACTGGCGTAGCCACACACAGCAAAACATCACGTACATCACTGTCACTAATGAGAACACAAAAGATCAAGTAAATATAAGTGTCAGTGGCTTTCCATATATAAATATTTTTATGCCTCTGTATTTCACAACTAAATACATAAAAGAATTAACACTTCCCTTTGATTTCCAAACGTTGGCCACTTCAAATCCAACGATTTCTGTGTGACTCAAATTATTTTGTGTGTTATTTTACCAGTGAGGGGAATGTTTAGTTCTTCGGAAGCTGCTAGAGGTGAAAGCAGTTTGATGCTCTGTGAACAGCCTGATACTGCTCAGGTCTGACACTGATGAGCACCCTGGTACTCCCGGCGACCCTGACGCTGACCACATGGCGTCCTTGTCTCCTGAAACCCAGTGCTTGACTCAGCACAGCCAGAGGGTCTAGGAAGCGTTTCCCTTTCTTCCCACTGAAGTCATGGTGCCTGAACCCTCACCTGGAGCCCTTCAGGGAGCAGGGGGCTGCGTGTGCTGGAAGCGCAGGGAAGGTGGTACAGCCCTGTTTCCATCCGGTGCAACCCCAGCCTCCACCCCTCAGACCCCGCCAGCACCTCCCTGGGCCAGCATTTCAGAATGTTCTTTCCAGTGTGGTTCTTACCCCCATTGACTCCAGTTGCTTTGTGTGTGTGTCCAAATTACATCACAGAGAAAATCGAGCTCCCCAACAGCACCAGCACGGAAGTCGAAATGACGCCATCCAGCGATGTCTCAGAACCTGTACAAAATGGAAGTCTCTCCCACAGCATCGAAACTGTGGAAGCCCAGGTATGGCTTTTTTTTTTCTCTTCATTGCTTTTCTGGGCCGCTGGTTTATTTTGATATCATAGCAGAGCAGGGCAGAACGAGCCTACATTCTCCCTGGGAGCCCCAACTCCCAGCAGGGAGGACACAGGCCGAGTCTTACTTACCTGTGTGTGAGCTTCCCAGGGCCAGCCCAGGGCCCACAAGCATCACGCTCTCCACTTACTGAACTAACACGCTTATTCTCTAAACTACCATTTCTCAGGGTGAGGTGGGAAGACTCAAAAATTCAGATCCCTGGGCCACACCGCAGACCTGTTGAAACAGAATCTCTGGGAAGCCGCACCCAGGAATAAGCATTTTTAAATTTGCTTCCCAGGTGATTCATAATGCATGGTAAAGCTTAGTAGCTGCTGTGGCCTAATCCTTTCCCTGTGTCTTTAAGGTCAGGATTAAGTGACAGAGAAACCACAGCCATCACACCTCAGTGAGCTCCGTTTGGCCTGCCCGGTCCCTGGGGCTAAAATTAATCGATATTGTCTGACCCGATCCACCATCGGGTGCAGCAGTGGATAGCTGTCTGACCTAGTAGTTCTAATACTTAACATTTACACGTACTATGTGCCATAGATTTGGTGCTCAGCACTCTATATGTGTTACCGCCTTCAAATCTCACAGCCAAAGCTATAGTCATTTAGTTTCTCCACTTTATATTTGAGAAAGCTGAAGCTTAGCAAGTTGAAGTCGTCTATCAGGATTACCTCGCTTGGAGGCAATGAGCTGAGATCTGACCTCAGGACTGTCCAAATAGAACACCTATACTGTTTCCACCGTGCAACTCTGCCTCTGTGACTTAATTGCTCAAAAAATAGGCAGAAAGAAAAAGTAGGTGATACTTGTTAGATTTCTGGATCTTATCCTCATCAAGTGAGTCAGGATTTTAAGGCATAGAGTGCCAAACTTGCATTTGAATCAGGCACCCTAGGTGCATGTTTCTCAAACTTTAATATGCTTATGAATTTCCTGGGAGATCGTGTTAAAATTCACATCTGTCAGACCTGGAGTGGGGCCCAGAGTCTGCCATTCTAACGAGGTCCCAGGTGATTCTGGTGTTGCTAGTCCGAGGACCACACTTTGAGTAGCACTATCCTATTGTTTGAGACCCACTTCTCTACCCAGAATTTTCCCAATGGACTGAAAAGTCATACAGTGCCCTCAAAGAGAAGCCAGACTAGAGTACTCTGCTCCTCTGTATCCCCGGATACGCTCTGCAGAAGGGGGGTCTGCACTTCCTAGGGAAAATGTAATGTCAAGAAAGTTTCTTTCCCTAAAACAAAGAATACAGACATTGAGCACTTTTCATATACCTTTTGGTCATTTGTATATCTTCTTTGGAAAGACATCTGTATGGGTCCTTTGTTCATATTTTTTAATCGGGAGTTATTGTTTTTTGTTTTTTGGATTTTTTGTTTGTTTGCTATTGAATTGTAAGCATTCCCTATATTTTGGAGTTTTTTAAAATTTATTATCTGGGCCCTGGCCGGTTTGGCTCAGCGGTTAGAGCGTTGGCCTGCGGTACAGAGAGACCCGGGTTCGGTTCCCGCTAAGGGCACGTACCTCGGTTGCAGTTTGTCCCCGGCCCTGGTTGGTCGTGCGGGTGGCAAACACTCGATGTGTCCCTTCACATCGATGTTTCTCTCTCTCTCTCTTCCTTTCTCTCCCTCCCGCTCTGTCTGAACAAAAAATGCAAAAATGTCCTCGGGTGAGGATAAAAAAAAAAAAAAATTTATTATCTGGTGTGCTTTATTTATTCATTCATTAACTCCTTTAAAATAATTCAGCTTTCAAATATGTTCTCCCGTGAAAGGTTGACTTTTCATGTTGTTGATTGTTTCTTTTGCTGTGCTTTTCACAATGTACACTCATATCAAGTCATCGCGTAGTACGCCTTAATAAGAGGACTTTATTTGTCAATTATACCTCAGGAAAGCTGGAAAAAATAAATAACTAAAGGAAAAGATAAGGAAACGGCAGCTCTTTCTGCCCTTGTCTCCTCTGCCTTCTGAGCTCTCCCGCCCAGAGCCCTGTGGTCTCCGCATTAGCGCGAGGGTGAGCTGGCAGAGCGGCTTAGGTCCACATGGACAAGCAGCATGTGGCAGCAGGAGACAGCCCCAAGGACATCTGGTTGCCCTTGGGGATGACACAGTCACAGGTATGTGGAGGGCATCCTGGTTGCTGTGCCTCTCCATTTGGCTGACAGAGGGACATCTGTGTCCCCCACCAGGGAGCACCTTGCTCCAGGGGAGTGAGAAAGTACCAACTGATTCCTCTCTGAGCAAAGCTATGGCCCCCAGGTCCCACACAGGGAAATTGGACAGATCCGTGCACTACCCTGACATGCTGAGAGGTCAAGAACGAACAGACCTTCAAACAGCCACCTGCCAGTGGCCGCAGAACAACCTGCGAGTGAATTCCAGATCCGCCAGGGACAAGTTACCTAACCTCACTTTCGTCTCCTCATCTGCAAAGTGCAGATGATAATAGTACCTGCCTCGTTAGGGTTATCAGGAAAGTTAGATGAGATAATGTACATAAAGTCCTCAGCACAGAACTAAGTGCTTCTATTTATATTATGTGTTTATACTTACACATAAACACCATTAAAGGTAAGGTATCCCTGCCCCTGCCCCGAAAGAACTCAGTGTAGGCAAAATAAATATTAAAGAAAAAAGAAATATATATATATATATAAAGCTTGAGGGTAGTCAGGGTGTAATAAGTAAATAAGTAAACATTTGTGGTACCTAAATGATTATGGCCCAGTGTTTGTACATATTGCTCTGGGAGGAAAGTATAAGTGCTTTGTAGAAGAGGTAACATTTGAGCTGGGTATTGATGGACGAGTAGGAGTTTGTCTCTCAGAGAAAGAAGAGATGACCAAAATGACAATATGTGTAAAGGTATAAAACCTTAAGAGAGAAATCCGTGTTCAGTGACTGGGGAGAAGGCCAGCGGACTGGAAGTATAAGGTGGAGAGTGAGGAGAGGCCCACCAGGGAAGGTAAATTGGGCTGAAATTCTTCAACTGTTCAATCAAAAAGTTTTAGTGTTCATCTAATTAATATATGTCAGTTGGTATGCTAGGGCACTGGGGAAGCTCACATGTTCTAGCAGAACCGAGAAACTGCGATGACAAACCACGACGTAATGTGGATGGCCATAAGGACCATGAAGAAAACAAAGCATGATCGTGCGATCGAGGGCAACTGGAACGGCTCCTGAGCTTGGGAGATGACGGGACACTACACTAAGCAGTGGGGTTTGAACTGGGGCTGAACTCCAAGGAGCCAGCCAAGGGAACAGCACCCACAGAGGCAGAAATGAGCTCGGCTCATTTGCAGAACAGAAAACTCGGCGTGGCTGGAGAGTACAGAGCAGGGGAGTGAGGAGGGTGGCAGTGAGGCTGGACGGGAGGGCCAAGCAGAACTGGACCACCTTGTAGACTATGCTAAGGAAGTTGACTTCCTTCTCGGACAGCAACAAGCCATTGGAGGTTCCCAGATGTGATCTGCGCTTGTAAAAGACCCCTCGGGCTGTGTGGGATGGGATTTGGGGGCAAGAGGTTGTGTAACAAGAATACAGCAAAGAGGTCACTGCAGGAGCGGAGCTGATGGTGGCACGAACAGTGCAGTGGACACGTGGTGAGAAGTATGACTGTGAAGGGCACTGTAGGCGGCACTACCAAGCAGTCTGAACTTCCCCCGTCGGGAGCGGGGAGCAGTGGCAGCCCCAGACTTGTACAGTAGGAAGCTGGCCCTTTCAGAATGGCCAAGAAGGGGCCAGAAAGGAAGAAGACTGGATACAGGTGGTGAGGTAAGAGCCTGGTGGGTCAAGGGTCAGCAATCTATGGTCCGTGGCCCAATCTGGCCTGTGGCCTGTTTCTGTACAATCCATGAGACAAGAATGTTTGTACATCTTGAAAGGTTTTTTGTTTTTTTTTTAAGCAGCATATATGACAGAGACCATATGGATCACAAAGCCTAAAATATGTACTATCTGGACCTTTATAGAAAAAGTTTGCCCACCCCTAGTTTAGACCATCTGCATTCTTTCAAAAAAAGGCGGGGTAGGTGAGGGTACTCTTCATGTACTGATATGGAATTTCCTTCAAAATACGCTGTTTAGTGGAAAAGCAGTATGTCAAATTACATCCAGTGTACTATATCTACGTGAGAGGAGGAAAGGTGGGAAATAGCATAAGCATTTACTTGGGATGCTACGGAAGAAACTGGTCATGCGATTAGCTCCAGAACGGGCCTGGGTGGTGAGGAACTGTGAGAGGAAGGCTTTTCAGTATGCACCCTTCTGTAGCTTTTGAATTTTGAACCAGCTAACTGTATTACCTATTTAAAAAATACAACAGAGCCCTGGCTGGTTTGGCTCAGCAGTTAGAGCATTGGCCCACGGACCAATGAGTCACGGGTTCGATTCCAGCCAAGGGCACATACCTCTGGTTTGTCCCTGCCCCCTGGTTGGGGTCGTGTAGGAGGCAACCAGTTGATGTGTCTTTTTCATATCAATGTTTCTCTCTCTCTCCCTCTCTTCCTCTCTTTCCCTCCCACTCTATCTGAACAAAAATGGAAAAACATCGTCAGGTGAGGATTAAAAAAAAAAAAATACAACGACATAAACAATAGTGGACTAAATTAAAATAGAAGCAGTATGCTTTAGTGGTTTAAGAGCAGAGACTGGAGACAGACCACATGAATTCAAATTCCAGATATGCTACTTGCCAGCTGGGTGACTTTGGACAAGTTACTGAGCCTCTCTGTTCTCCACTTTCCTCTCTGTGAGACAAGGATAATAGCAGGACCTACTTCATATCATTGTTGTGAGAATAAAAGGCTCTTAACTGTTCTTGGCACTCCGTAAGCATTGCATAGGATTTTGCTATTATGAGGCACACTTAGTAAAACTTTTTTAAATGGCTATGGAGGCCCAGATGACAATGGCTGCAGCATGGAT